TACAGTCACTTCCAAAGCCAACAGCAGAGAGACATCCAAACTTCCGACGAGTTTTCTTTTCCAACCATTATCAAACTGTTACCACTCCCGGGTCTCAGGGTAACAGGATGAGTGTCAATCAAGTATGGTTTGCCATTGAGACAACCAATTGTCAGGACGAAAGGATTACTGGTGAATATTGCAGCAAAGCCCGTACGTCCAAGTTCACAGAGTTTCGAATGTAACTTGTGCCTTCCTTCGACAGAAAAAACTCCATCGGCAAACGGCAATTCTTCCGAAAAGTCATGAAAAGCCTTGATGATCTTTTTGTCCAGGAGGATGTCATAAGCTTCTACGGGATCGTACATTTTACTAAGGTCGCGAAACGGATTTATTTTGTCAGGTAAAAGCCATATGGTGTCTTCCGTAGTACCAGCTACTTTTGCGAAAACATCACCTTCTGTTCCGATTTCTGTCAGGATCGTGTCTACGATCTTCACAGACAGAAAAGCGCATGCGTTGGTTCCATCATTGCTCAGGACGGATCCCACCTGCAATGCCTCTTCGTGACCAGCTTCGTGGAGGTAAGTGGCAAGTTTCTGATCAAACTGTTCTACAGCAGTAGCTTGGCTGATCTTTAATGGGATGACGTCGAAGTCTTTTTCCTCTCTACTTAAGATGGTCGCTGCTTTGTCTAAGGACAATCGACTCTGCCGGTTGAAGTTGACGCATCCCTTGTACACCTCCTCTAAGGCACACCACACAGTAGCACGTTCGACTTCATACTTTTCATCTGGTAAGGGATGTTTTCCTCTGCGCAGTAGAGAACTGATGAATCTTTTAAGTTCATCTTGACAGCCGATATTTCCTTCTGATCGAACCTCGACTAAATAGGGACATTTCAGGCTAGGGTTAATCAATGAAAAGAACACCATTACCAGGGCCCATAGATCTGCTAGTATTAAATCGAAAATACTTGCGCGAGAAATCCGAAGATCCTCGACAAGAATTTCAGGGGCCATGTACATCACCGTTCCTCGATCTACGTTCCTCGTGTTCGAGGCAAGAACGCTTTGCGTTTGCATTAGCAACGAGCGGCTCTCTCCAAAGTCCGTGAGCTTGCACGCTATAGGCCGCGATTGAAACTGCAAAGCGATTTCCTGTGCGTCGGATAATGTGTTGTAGTGACGATTGCACACTAGTATGTTGGCTGGTTTTAAGTCTCTATGGGCAATTCCTTTTCCGTGGAGATACGCCAGTCCCTGTATCATTTCCACTGCCTGGGTTTGCATAACTGTCTCGCATTCTCCCAACCCTCCTCGTGTTTAGACGAGGCTATATACACACGGAAAAAGTGCTCTATTGCCTAACTGATACTACATAATTGAACTTATTTATGATTTTCACAGGGACGAAGAAGGCAATGATATCACTGATTTATCAGTTTTCAAGGATTATCATCATTATCATCTATATACACACGGAAAAGGTGCTCTATTGCCTAACTAATACTACATATACTACATAATTGAACTTATTTATGATTTCCACAGGGACGAAGAAGGCAATGATATCACTGATTTATCAGTTTCCAAGGAATATCATGACAAAGTAGAAGGACGTGTTGAACAATACGTGGAGGCAAGGAAGGAAAAAGGATCTCCAGATATTCCAGCTCGTGTTGGTCTTCAGTTGATGGGGTGGAAAGCCGGAACGCGACCCATCAGAAAAGTAGTTGAGTACTTCAACTTTGATTTCGAGATCGCAAAGCGCCCAGGACTGGTGTCTTTTTACCAGATGTTTGAACGTGGAGAGGATTTTTTTGTCAGCGACCAGCGAGGGCTTTGGTTCATGTATGAAGATCTCTACAAACCCTTGACCAACCGAGTTTTATTGAACAAAACCGTGACAGAAATCAAGTATTCTGACACATCAGTTGAAGTTACCACATCCAATGGCGACAAATTTGCCGCAGATTACGCCCTGTGTACATTCAGTACTGGAGTGCTGGCTAGCGACATGGTGACTTTTAACCCACCCCTCCCTGAATGGAAAAAGGAAGTGATCTTTAAAAACCCAATGTCGGTTTACACGAAAATCTTCCTGAAATTTCCAAACAAGTTCTGGGACGATCACGAATATATTCTGTATGCCTCTAAAGAGCGAGGTCGTTTTCCCGTGTTCCAAGACTTGGAAAGACCAGGCATTTTACCAAATGGCAGCAGCCTTTTATTGGTCACCGTGACGGAGGACGAAGGGAGAAGGATTGAACGACAAGCATACAATGAAACCAAGGCAGAGGTCATGAAAATGTTGAGATCCATTTACGGACAGAGCATTCCTGATGCAACAGGTAAGGATAACTAGCTTACCGGCAGCTTAATTGACATTGAGTAACAAGAACCAGTTTTATTTGCTCGCTCTTGAGAGTAGTTACGCTTAAATTAGCAAAATACAATTAAATGGAGCAAGGAACAACAGGGGCACAGCAATTAGGTTCTGCTTTTCGTAAGAGAGGTATACTCTCCGAAGTAGAATTGAGTACAGGTTTTTGATCGGATCGCAGGCTCAAACCAGGTTAACTTAGTCTAATCAGGAGCTCCGCTTTTAGGCTTGGCTAGATCTATATATGATCTTCGACGGAAATAGGTCATCTACCACGATATGTGTCCCAGTGTAATCTCTGACAAATTTAATTTCGGTGGTAAATTCTTCATCTAACGACTTACTACTTCTGCCATGTATTTGTGTTGTTCTTGATAGAGCGGTTTTCACTTGAGTGTTGAAAGTAATTTGCCTTTGTTTCTGTTTTGTATCGCTACGCTAAGCGATTGGCTTAAAAAACGGGCGCCATTCTGTCATCCAATCAGAGAT